AAAATGGCCGCGGATCCTGTTTGTCACCCGATGCGGAGTTCGCAAACGGAAGCAAAATGTTGTGAACGGTGCTGTTTGTGACCCAAATTGGTCGTGAACAGAAGCGTTCGTGACCCGAGGTACCACTGTACTTGTTCCAATATTTCTATTTCTTATTCTTTCCTGTTTCTTACTGTTCTGGAATCAAACATCCTGAAGAAGTAAGGATTATTTTGGTATTGATTCCAATCCTGCTCAGTACAGGAATCCAGCTGAAAGTGTCCCTAACAGCTGAGGTTCTTCTTATTCACTTTACCATCCTTCAGTCTCTCTCCACGTCTTTGCTCCTGCCCAACAGTCAACAGTTTCTTCTATTGCTAGACTCTCTGTGTTCTTCCTGCCCAGTCATGCTGATTGTAACTGGGTTCATTACACTCTGCATGATAAATCACATTTGGCTGGGCTCTTACTTCATGCTAAGCCAGAAATCATTGTTTACAAACCAGTATGATTAATTCATAGTTTTCTAAGCCAAAATCAGACAAAACACATTATGCCTTAGAGACTCCTAAAGATTTTTTAAAAGTTTCCTGAGTTTTATAGGTGTGTCCCATGGAAGAAATAGATTTTGAATCTGTCTCTCCAAGGCCTCTTATGAGTTGGATTATGCTGGCTCTTGATAGACAGACTTCTGTCCAATTCCTGGAGAGAGCATCTAAGAGTGTCAGTGCTCTGCTGGACATAAGGACAACTTAGCTGGTAACTCGTTAACTAGAGAATGGAACAGATGACTTGGCTTCAGCTTTCTCTTTCCTTGTTCTGCATCTCAGGAAGAGGATTTATTTGAAACTACAAGTGAGGAGGAATCTGATACAGAGAATGGCAGAGGTGCAGATCAGGTTGTGGATGTTGAAGATCTGGGCAAGGTGATGGGCCACATGAAGAAATCTCAGGTAAGGAGAACTTTGCCCTTGATCCCAAGACCTTTCTGCTCGCTACAGATAGTCCTCAACTTACAACCAGTTGTTCAGCGCATTTGAAGTTATGATGGTGCTGAATGAATGCTGGTTATGACCAGTCCTTGGAGTTCCAGCCATCTCAGCACTCCCACGGTCAGGTGATTGCGATCTGGGTGCTGGGCAACTGGCTTGCACTTGTGACCATTTGCAGTGCCCTGTGATCACATGATCACCATTTGTGACTTTCCCTGCTGGCTCCCCCAGAAAGTCAGTGGGGAAGCTGACAGGGAAGGTCACAAGTTGCTGGGGTAAGTCTCCCTCCCCGCACACGCTTCCCTAGTTCCTCTGTGCTTGTGCTGTGCGGGCCAGTTGCACACCCCTGTGCACCCTCCCTGAGCCTCCCTGCTACTCGTGCACCTCCTGGGCACCCTCCCCAACCCTCGCCATGCTTCCCTCACACCCCTGTGCACCCTCCCCAACCCTCACTGTATCTCCCTCACACCCTCGCTGCACCTCCCTTGCAGCTTCACACACCCCTTTGTGCCCTCCCCCACCCAGCAGCAGCCACTCATCTGCCTGCCAGCCTGCTTGCAAGCCACTTGGAACTTGCAACTTCCCACCGGCTTTCCCACTGACTTTGGTTGTGGGAAGCCAGCAGGAAGTTGCCTTGCTTAACAACCGTAGGATTCAGTTAATGAGAGCACTGGGACTGCAGGGATTGCCATCGCTAAGTGATGCAGCCATACTTTACAACTGCATCGCTTAGTGACAGAAGTTCTGGTCCCAATTGCTGTCGTAAGTCGAGGACTACCTGTATTTCTAAGATCAGAACAAGCTAAGTCTAGGATCAGAACAGAAATATGGATACACTGCTAGGTATCACTTCTACCACTGCCCAGCCTGCCCTATTGTTGCACTGCTGTTTCCTGGCAGCGACAGCAGCAGGAGCCATGCTTCCTTCTCCTTCCTGTTGCTGAAAGCCTAAGGTACTAGTACAATGACAGTCCCAATTGTCAGCCAGTCCATTGTAAAAATGCCATGCTATCAAGCTGGTCAAGGCTATATAGCAGTTACACAGCATTTTAATGAAAGGATTTCTCCCAACTGTGAAGATCAGGCAGCAGAACAAATCAGTTTACATTTTTTTAATCGTTGTTCTTGCACAGAGAGAGCATCAACCTGACGGAGAGGTTCCCAGGGGGACTGGAACCCAACATGGCAGAGGGGAGGATGAGAGGAGAGAGATGATCACCCCAGCTCTTCGTGATGCACTCACAAAGCAAGGTGATGGGGTAGCAATGCAGGTTCAACCTAAGCTGATGTTCATTATAATGATTGTCTTTATTGTAGTTATTGGAACTATTCTTTTTCCTAGCCTACTTCACAGGGCTGCTGTGAGGATAAAATGGCTGGGAGAACCATGCAGGCTGTTGAGACCCATTTCATTTAATTGAAACTAAATTCAAAACTCACTTTATTATAATAGTGGTTCAGTGCAGAGACAAGATGGAGACAGGCTGATTTAGTGGCTAGGTTCATACTTTTTTTTTTTTGGCTTGCTTGCTTGTTTTTGCCTTCAAGTCAGTCTTGGCTCTTGACAACTACCTGGATAAGTCTCTGCTTTTCAGAAGTGGTTTGCCATTGCCTGCTTCCTAGAGCTGAGAGGGAGTGACAGGCCCAAGGTCACCCACTTGCCTAAGGCGGGACTCGAACTCACGGTCTCCCAGTTTCTAGCCTGTTGCCTTCACTACTACACCGAACTGGCTCTCTCATACGTCATGCTGAACCATAATTTACTTGACTGTGGTTTACTGAATAAGCCATACACTGAGCCATAAATCATGGTTTTCAAAGCACAGTACTGAAAACAGTTTATTCACACAAATATTCTTAGTCAAAACCAAATAAACCATCTTGTGCTTTAGACTGTTCTGGGAAGCCAGTTGTTGTCTGCTGGAGCTGCTACTGAGTTTGGACAAAGAGGTCTGCTTGGATTAAAGTGCTTGTATTTGGTATCCCCTCAGGCTCTTTATGGCTATTTCTTTGTGCTATATCACTCAAACTAAAACAAAAACCTCTCTTCTCGTTCAGGTTATAGATTAATTGGGAGCCATTCTGGAGTGAAACTTTGCCGTTGGACAAAGGTGCTGCTTTTCTTTTCTAATCAATTTTTTTATAAATGGCGGTGATAACAATAGTATCTAATACAAAAATATACGGGACCATGTATAATAATAAAAGGTCTTTCCCAACCTAGTGCTCTCCAGATGAGTGTGAAGGGCAACTAAAATAGGTAAATCCAGCTCAGAGGCTCAACCTACCTATTTCAGGTTTTACACTCATCAAAATGTAACAGAGGAAAAGCAATAAATGTTTTAAATAATTAATGATAAAAGGAAGATGCAGGCACAAATTTATCTTAATGATCGCAACATTCTCTCCTTTATGATATTAAAAAGATAATTGAAGATTTTTAATTCCATTGAATTTATTAGATTTGTTACAGCCGCCCATTCCTGAAGACTCTGGGCATCTTTATGGTTTTATTTCACTCAGCCATTCCTAATCAAGTGTTACTGATGTGCATTGAGGTGCACGATCTATTGTTGTTTGGTATATTTTTAATGTGTTTCAACCCACCCACTATCTTTCGATTGGGATGGGCTATAAGACCTGTAAAATAAAAATAATAATAATTTGATGGTGTGACTTTTGAGGGTAGGAGGGACTGCATTCAGCTTCTGTGGGGTACCTTCACTTGCTCCCTGTATTAAAATTTATTTAGTGGTGGCCCCATATTTGCATAATGCTTTTTTCTCCAGTAGAGAACATACTGTTTAAAATGTGGTGCCATCAAAAATTTGTTGTTATTTATTTTTTTAATTTGGTTTATATCCTGCCTTTCTATTCATTCCAAAATAGTATGTAGTATACTATAGTTTAAGAATAATTTAGATTGGTAAAAAATAAAATATGGTTGACTAAGGTAAATGCTTGTAGTAGCAATGCCATCTTGAGATTGTTATTTATTTTGTTATTGCTCACATTTGTCTGATAGTCGATGCTTCGTGGCAGAGGAGGCTGTTACAAGCATACCTTTTATGGCATCGAAAGCCACCGCTGTATGGAGACAACACCCAGCTTGGCTTGTGCTAATAAATGTGTCTTCTGTTGGAGGTAAAGATCTGGGACTGATTCTTTTTAATTTTTTTATGCCATCAAGTCAGTGTTGACGGCACTGTGTAGCAACTGGCTGGACAAGTCCCTGCAGTTTTCTTGCCAAGATTTTGGAAGTGGCTTGCCATTGCCTGCTTCCTAGGGCTGAGAGAGAGTGACTGGCCCAAAGTCACCCAGTCGTGCCTAAGGCAGGACTAGAATTCACGGTCTCCCTGTTTCTAGCCTGGTGCTTTAACCACTACACTAAACTGGCTCTCTGGGACTGATTCTACCAAGGGCCAAATGTTCAAAAAGCTCTGCTTTAATTTTGATAGTCCTTAACTGCCAGATTAATTCTCAGAAACATAGCATTATCTCTTAATTATATACATATATATATAATTTGATATATATATATATATATTTTTTTCCCCAGACACCACACAAATCCTGTAGGCACAGAGTGGCGATGGAAGATGGACCAGCCAGAGATGATCTTGCAGGAAGCTATTGAGAACCATCAGAACTTGATCAAGCAATTTAAAGGTGGGATGTGGATCCTATACATGTGATTCTTTGGAAGTTGGATCTTGTATATAGAAGTCTCTTAGTGGCTGGCACATGAGGGAAGAGAGCCTTTTAGGCATGTTTCTATTAAGGAAAACGCCAGTGCTTCCATTTTTTTTATCCTAGATATAAATGATTAAATTGGTGCCTAGGCTGTTTTTGTTTCTGGAAATTTTACTAGCAACGCATCTGGAGAGTTCTTGGAATTACAGTAGCAGAATATCAGATGGAAAGATACTGTAATGAGGAGAAGCATAAGCTTTTGATGTTCTTCAGTCAAAAGAACCTTGAATATGAATTTTAGTTGGGTTAACAAAATTTGCTTATGGAAGTTGTTCTGGGAAGAGGAGAAACATTCTAGTTCTGGGTTAGATTTAGCTATGTATGTTGATGCAGCCTTAGACTGAGCATTTTCTACTCTCTGGTAAAAGATTGTGAATAATCATTGTCTTCCCTCTCAGTTTTTTATATAAAAACATGGTAGTACTTGTATCAAAATTAACAGAAAATCTGTAATGCACAGGGTATTTTTCAATCAAGTTGTGACCTACATCATGAGATAACTCTTCTAAAGCACTGTTCTTTAGCTGCAGTTTAATTTTATTAAAAATACTATCTCTACTCCAATGAAAAGAAATGTAGTTCTTTAGTATAACTAATTGATTTCCTAATACTTCTCTATGCATTCTTGGAGGTGGGACCCACTTTCATCAATGGAGCTTAGAATATTATAGAATCATAACATTGTGATATATATTTAAGCTTGTAAACTAGGAATGGGCAACTTTCTTGCAGCTGCTCTTGTAACATATTTGGCTTCCAAGAGCCCCAGGGAGAGGGGCTAATGGGCAGAGCTAAGCATTGGGCCTGTATGGGAAGGTTAATGGTTCCTTAAGCATCTGAAAAGCTTAAGGCATTTATATTATCCTTTAACTTCCAACCACCACAATAAAAAGGACTGAAAATACTGTTCTGCTTCAGGAGCTCTTGAGTCACAAAAGGAGTGCAGAGAGCAGGGAGAAGGGTGGGTGGGTAGGTGGGTTGATTTTTTTTTTTTATATATATATATACACATACATACACACACACACACACACACACATTTATTTATTTATTTATTTATTTATTTCAAATTTGTCACCGCCCATCTCACTGCAGAGCAACTGGGCCTGAGTTGTTTCTCTCTGCTGCAGACTATCCTCAGTGGTTGGAAATGATTTCATTCTGTTTCTAGGGGTCCCTGGAGTGAGAGATGATCGCTTCAAAGAAGGGATGGAGGCCAAGCATTGTGCACTGTCCCTTGTGGGGGAGCCAATCATGTACCCCCAAATCAACCAGTTCCTAAAGCTGCTGCATCATCACAACATTTCAAGCTTCTTGGTTACCAATGCGCAGTTTCCAGAGGAAATTAGGTGAGGTTCTAAGAAGTTGTACCTCTTCCTCCCCATTTCAGCCTATAATCGGTGTATTGTGCTGGGTGTTGCATTGTGAAATGTAGGCAGGCCAGAATAGTGGGTGGGGCTTGGACAAGAGCTGACTCTGAGTGAATTTAAAATTCAGTCAGCTTAATTAAATACAGTTAGTATGTTTAGTTCCTTAGTTAATCATTTCCCCCTTCTCTCTCACTGAAAATTGTAAATTGATGGTCAGGTTTGGAGGGACTAAGGGGCACGCTAAGAATTTTGGAGGGCACACGTGGCCTCAAGGTTTACATTTTAATTTAGTCTCTGTTGTGCTGGTTGCCCAAAGTTAGATAAGAACAGCTTTCTATATCCACACTACCCTGTTTTGGACCTCAGTGTCACACACAACCTTGGAAATAACCTGGGAACAGAAAGCTGCCCTGGAATCCAGAGCAGCTGCCATTCAAGATATGTTGAAGTAGGTTTTTTTTCCTAAAAGTCTTCAGTGGCAGCATTCCACAATTTCAAAGCTTTCCCTGTTGCCTCACAAACAGGAATCTCCAGCCTGTCACTCAGCTCTATGTCAGTGTGGATGCCAGCACCAAAGACAGTCTGAAGAAGATCGATCGACCTCTCTTTAAAGACTTTTGGCAGCGGTTCCTAGATAGCTTGCAAGCCTTAGCTGAAAAGGTATGGCATTCAGCTTACATTTGGTTCCCCCTTGATATTGAAACAGTAGAGGGAAAGATTGTGTAATGGTATGCTTGACTGACGTTGGGAGACGGTGGGAAGAGATGCTGCCTAGGGAACAATCAGATGGGGGGGGGGGAATTCGCATCTGCATAATGGGCACAGAAAGAAACCCAGAAAGGATCCTCCCTAATTTATCAAGCTGCAAAAAGAGATGGCAGGAGATCTTTACTTTCAGACTCTGTTAATGTAGCTTTACAATAAAGTAAAATTAGCTCATCTGGTCTTATTTCCTGTCTGGTCTATCTGGGAAGCTGACAGGTTGTGATAACTCAAAACCTTTATGAATTCTATTCTCTGAGTCAAAAGTTCAGATTACGATGAACTCCTACTACGTCATGGCTAAAACAAATCTTTTCAGATTTCTTGGCCTAGTGCTCTTTTCAGCGGAAAACTTGAAGCTTAATTCAGCACCAGTTATGTGGTTTTTGTCTCACACTGTGTATCGAGATCTGTAATCCTACTCATATCTTTTTATTTCTACTTACTATTGCACGCTGTAATTGAAAATTACTCTCTCCCACCTTTTTCAGCAACAGCGCACTGTATACAGGTTGACACTGGTGAAAGCGTGGAACGTGGATGAGCTGAAAGCTTATTCAGACTTGGTGTCTCTTGGCAAGCCAGATTTCATAGAAGTTAAGGTGAGCTGTTGGTTGTTAGGGTGGGCCCTTCTTGCCTCCCGGACTTGACTTTTTGCATAGTTTCATCATTCTTCAGGCAAATGTTTTATGGTATGATAAATGGCAAATTTGACTAGGCCTGGTTCCAAATGTTTGCAGAAATAATTCTAGGGCAGATTTTGCATTTCAGTTTGTACCCTGACCCCTTGTTTTCCCCATTCTATATAACTAGTTTTGGATTGAGGGAGGCTTTGCCAAGTCGCCCATGAATTCAGGGTGGGAGAACCATTAGCCATCATGATAGTGAACATTCATGTTCAGAGACAGCACTGCTTGCTGAGAGCAGATGATGTGAACCGTTATGGCTTTCATCGCCTGCTTGTCAGATTCCTGGGAGCATCTGCTTGGCCCCTTCAAGACCCATCTATAGAGGCTAGGGAGAGAAAAGAGCAGGGCTAGCCTGCGCACTCATTCTCTACCCAGTTTGAAGTCCTTCCGATACTGAGGTGAACAATCATTCTTAGGCCCACATAATATTAAGATCTGATATTTGGATATTGCTGTTTTCCTTTTCCGTCTTCAGCCCTTTTTTTTTGCATGTATTTTTAGACTGTAAGCCTGAGATGAGGAATAACTCTTTGTATTGACCTGTAATTATTTAATTTCAAGAATGGAAGAATCCCTACAGGCAACAGGGATGGTGAATTTCCAAGCCTCCTATGTTGCTGAACTACAACTAACAGAAGCCCCAGCCATCACGACTACTAGTGTGGGATGCTGGGAGAGGTAGTTCAGGGTTACATCTGACTTATAGGCTATTTAGAGTTATTGTAGCCGTCATATGATCCCTGTTATAAACAGCAGAGTCACCACAAACAGGTCCAGTGTTATTTTTCCATGGCTACTATTCTTGTGGCTGCTTAATCCTCGTGGTTGACCTTGTTCTAGCGAAGATGAAACAATCCTACTTTCTTTCTGACTATGCTTTAAAAAATAATCCTTCTCTTTCAGTAATTTGTAACTTTACTGCAGTAGTGTTTCCTAACTATATGGCAATATGTTCGTTTGAAAAAAAAAAAACTGGAAAAATGAATTTTGAGAGAAGTCTAGGATTCAAGTGTTAAATGTTTCTTCCACAGGGTGTGACATACTGTGGGGAAAGTTCAGCCAGTAGCCTTACAATGGCCAACGTCCCTTGGCATGAAGAAGTGAAGCGTTTTGTGCAAGAGCTGGTTGACCTCCTTCCAGACTATGAAATTGCCAGCGAACACGAGCACTCCAACTGTCTCCTGATTGCCCACAAGAAGGTGATTCTCAGCACCTTTGTGTCTTTTCCTGAAATTTTTGTTTAGGAAGATTTAAATATTATTATTACTGTTGTAGACTGTTTTTCAGCTGTAATGATCTCGAGGGTGCTTTATGACAATTATAAAACAATGAAAACAAACATCTTTAAAATAAGGATGCTAATATTTTTGGCGACAGGCCCCTTTAGGATTGAGGCCAGGTTACTGGTTGCGGTAAATGGTTGTCATGGTTTTGCCTGTTTGCCAAAGGGCTGCCCTGTTGGGTGGGGCCAGTCTCAAAGTGCTCATTTAACAGAAGGCATTCTGGTGAGACAGTTCCATACTACCCTTTCTAGTCTCCCAGGATATTCTCTGTTAACTCAGCTTCTTCCTTTATCTTTTTTTTTTTTTTCTGGGCAAGTGGGCATATTTCTAACAATGCTGACAGCCAGCATTTTTTTAAAAAAAATCTAAGAATGCCTGTGGGATCTGTAATTAATTGCCATTAGGAAAATCTAAACCCAAAGTTAAATGAGGCAAAGAGCATGGACCTGTGGCCCAGTGACATCTATGTATGCTATGTAAGGAAGTCCAGCATTCAGGCCACAACAAATGTAAATTTAACAATGGTAATGGCAAAAGTGAAGTAAAAGGGCAGTTAAAATAATAGCCACAGTGTGGAACTGGAAAATCTAATCAAACCAAGAAAATGTTTCATGCTCCTCTTCTCCAAATGAGAAGAGATTCTCAGTCTTTGGGGCCACTGCAGGAAGTTCTTTGCTTCTTATGCATGACAATTAAAAATCTCTGCTTGGTGGAGCAAGCTCTAGTAAATAAATTGTAACATCTGAGTGAAGAGCAGGGTTAGGGAGCTTGTATGTAATTGACATGCAAACATACATGTGTTCATGCTGGTCTGTGACTGTAATAAAGATTTGATTTGATATATTTGTTAAGACCTGAAAGTGGAGTGGTGGTGGGGAGATCAACTCACTAGAAGTCTTAGTACCCCTAGGCAGAGCTTTAAGGCTCTCCATCGTATCTAGGAAGCCTTCAATAAACTCAGCTAGATCACACAGCACACTGAAGAAAGATTTATTTAATTATGGTTTATTGAAAAAAAAAGGCTGGCTTCATGTAGCACACTAATCCAAACAAAGATTGCATTATAGTCCAGTGCAGCCTTCTCTACACTGTCTTCTAGATTTGTGGATTTCAGTTCCCAAAATTCTCAGCAATGGCCATGCTAGCTGGGGAATTCTAGGGATTGAAATCCCTACATAGCGAGAATGACCAGGTTGGAGAAAACTGTCTGAGTATGTTGTTTTGTCTGAATCAGGAAACTATGGTAAACACCTTTAGAGCAAGCCACTACTTTTTTTTTAAAAAACTATTATAATCACAATTATACATCTACATTTTCCTTTAGTTCAAGATTGAGGGGAAATGGCACACCTGGATTGACTATGATCGCTTTCAAGAATTGGTCCATGAATATGAACAGAGTGGAGGAGTCAAAACATTCACTTCTGCTGATTACGTAGCACTAACTCCTCCTTGGGCAGTGTTTGGAGCTAAGGAAAGAGGCTTTGATCCAATGGACACAAGATTTCAACGAAAAAACAAAATAAAGGACATCTCAGGATGCTGACAGCTTTAAAATTGGACCATTTTTAAAGCTAGAGCTTAGAGAGAATGTTTGGTATGTACATCGTCAGAAATCTTTGCATAAAACTTGAGACTCCATTTGTCCTGGGGCTATCCAAAGTGTTTTTTCTTTTGTTTGCCAAAAAGAAAATGGTAAGTAATATGCTTTTTGAAAAGGCAGGTAGATGCTGTTAATTTATCATTCTCATCTCTCTCAGGGAGTGTGAGGTAATTTCACTTTCCACCCATATGTGTCCTTCATATTGTTCCACTTCTCATACTCTCATTCTGATCCCAGCTCCACACTTTCTGTAGTCCCCTCAGCATCTGTGTGGGTATGGCCCACATTTTGTAGCCTATTTTTGGTGGGTGAGGGACAGCTAACACCTCCCCTAAAAATAAATAGCCAAAATGTTTTCCCCAACGTTCATGTGGCATGATCAGCTGTACCCCCTGCAGCCCTTCAAGGCCCACCCAAATAAAAAAAATGCATCCTGTTTTCCTAATTGAAGCTTTTCTTGAGATCAGCAATCTATCTGGGATGGCCTAAGCCATGTCTGTGGACTCCAGAAATAAAACAATTTTTTAAATTTTATTCAGTGAAAGTACCTGAAAAGGTTGTTAAGTCGTGCAAAACTGGAATGGGGGTTCCCTGTTTCTCTGAATATCTGTGGCAACAATCCTGTGCTGCCTGGCCATCTAGAAATGTTTGAAAAGATTTGCAGCAACTGTGGCCCAATGGTGTGGGCAAGCCTATATAGGTTGTTCATTCTGGCAGAGATTTAACTACAGTAAATTAAAAACAAAAAGCATCCTATCTCTTGGTGTGTGGATATTTTTTATCCTATTTGTGAATAGGATAAATAGAATCACTCTAGGATTGAGGCCTGTATCTATATTTTTTTCAGTGTTTCTCATGGATCCATCAATGTGGTGTTAACTTCTGGATTGCTTTGTTAAAATTATTTGCATTTTCAAATGCAATTAACATTATCTTCCTTAATAATTTCTGCCCTAATTAGCATTTCTTAGATTTGTACATACCTTTTCAATGTCTTCTTTAAAAAAGAGAGTTCTTAAAATTTGGAAAGCAAGCAAAATAAAAAGAAAAACTGAATTTCATACCTACCTTTGTGACTCTCAAGTAAAATGCTAATCCGTTACTTTTTTTTTTTTGGTATTATTTATTGATAGAATGGTGGCAGCACATACAATAATTTACAGATTGATATGGGTTCTGCCTGAAGGTACATACTGTCTACCTTTCTATGATGGTATAAGGCAGTCTTTCTCAACCTTAGCAACTTTAAGTTATGTGGACTTCAGCTCCCAGAATTCTGGGAATTGAAGGCCACACATCTTAAAGTCGCCAAGGTTGAGAAAGACTGCCTTATACCATCAGTCCAGATTTAATGACAACACCATGCTAAGTCTGCTCACAAGTGAGCCTTTGACCCCAGTTAATTTTGATGGTCCTAATGTCATCTGGCAATCCAGCGTATTCATCCTCCAGTAATTGCCTCCCTTACAACAGCTGGCCAGTGGTGCTTTCCCACAAAGAAGGCAATAGCTCCTGAACAACTTTAGCAACTCTTTTACATTATGCTTTTTTCTTATCTACTATTTGTGATTCAGCCCAGTTTCAACTCAGTTGTGATAAAAAATTCTCATAAAGTGTTTATTTGGTAGTTATTGTAAGAGTCACAGATGGCATCCTATTTTTGCCTACCTAATTCCTTATGCAGCTAGTATCACATTTATTCAAGATTTAAAGTATGCCAGAGCACAGTTCAGGATCTTAGTATTTAGAAGACATACACTTTTTGCAATAAAGTTTCTTTACTATAGTCAAACAAGAGTGGGTTGGTGCTATCCTTTCTCTGTTATATGTCTTTTAATATCCCCGTGACAAGAAATATTGTCTGGACTTCCTATTTAAATTAAACATTGCTGAAGTCTCATTGGCCTGTTTTTCATTAAAAAGATTGCCGCCTCTAAGAGATGCCTCATTAGGGGGCCTTTACTGCCTTAGGGCCTACTATATGTCATATCATCCAGCAAGGAAAAAAGCTCAAGGACAGTGTTGGCTTAACATGCTAAATCAGTGTTTCTCAACCTTGGCAACTTTCAGATGTGTGGACTTCAACTCCCAGAATTCCCCAGCCAGCAGTGCTGGCTGAGGAATTCTGGAAGTTGAACTCTACACATCTGAAAGTTGCCAAGGTTGAGAAGCTGTGCTAAATTATGTATCAATTAATAAGCCAAATGGCTAAATCAAATAAACCATATTGTGTCTTAGCTTGTTTGTGAATCAGGCCATCACATTTAAACCGTACCATAATGTGGTTTGTTTTTGGCTTACCGTGTTGTGTGAACACAACTACTGTGAATTGTTATTTACAATTTAGGGCAGAAACATACATGAAATCTGGGAATTAAGGCTGCAGGCAGTCTTTAAAAGTGTATCCTGCAGAAATCTTTAAATATTTGCTACCTAATGTTTTTAATGTGTCCCAAGAGGAAATTCATTAAACACGATGGACATGTAATCATAGTCTATTTTATTTTAATGAAATGTATTGATGCTTTCGAACTTTGGTGTTGGAGAAGACTTCTGAGAGAACACTGTGGAGAAGCAAGAAAACAAATCGATGGATCATCAAACCAACCAACCCAGAGTTCTCACTCGAGGCACAAATGACCAGGCTCAGATTATCCTACTTAGGACACAGTATGTGAAGGCTAGAGAAGGCTCTGATGCTGGGAAAGGTGGAAGGAAAGAGAAGAGGATGACCAACAATAAGGTGGATGGACTCAGTTACAGTGGTGCACTGTTGGATGACCTGCAGGGCCAAGTTCATAGAGAAAATCTATCTACATCGGTTGCTAAGAGTCAACACTGACGGCACATAATCAATCAATCAATCAATCAAATTTTAGTTACTGTCTTGGTTCTATCCACCACTTCTTAAGGTACAATACAAGCATGCAGCTGCCTGGAGTCAGATAGCTTAGCAAAGTGACACCAACACAACTTTGGGGCCCCATTTAGCGGTGCCAGTTGATACCTAAAAGCCTTGCGCATGTCAGGATCTACGCAAACCAGAACCTTCAATTATTTTTACTTTGCTTTTATTGCTAA